CATACTCCACTGGCATCCCCCCCGTTGACATTCGAGGTACAGAGGGCTTCATGGGAACTTTGAGGGGAGCCAGAAGTTGGAGTAGCCAAACACCGCTGCCAAAATCTCACTCTGAACTCTGTTCAAAACTTGAGAGCCCTGTGAAAACTATGTTAGAACTGGTTTATAAATGGTTCTTAATGATTAATAAAGTGTTTACACTAATTAATAACCTATAAACCCTTTATGAATCCTTTATAAGGGAATTCTTATTGTAAAGTGGTACCGAGCTAGCCTTTAGCATGTTAGTGTTGTCACTGTGAGCAGTTTACCTCAAAGCTCATCTGTGCTAAATACAGACTAACTGCGCTGTAGACTCCTAACCAAATGAACCTTGTCAACCGATGGCTTTAATATTGTTTCTGAACTCTTTTCTTTTGCAGGATCCGAACCAGCTGATCCGAGCCAGCGCTCTGCGAGTCCTCTCCAGCATCCGAGTCACGATCATCGTCCCCATCATGATGCTGGCCATCAAAGAGGCTGCCTCTGATATGTCTCCGTACGTCAGGAAGACGGCCGCTCACGCAATCCCCAAACTCTACAGGTGACAGAATGAGACTTTTTCAGTATTCAGACCCCTGATCCCCTGTTCTTTACAGTGTGGCGAACCAAGGTTATTTCACTTATTAATATTTATTGCATGAGGCCTCTTTAATTACAGATATTACTGTTTGAAAACAGGTTTTATATTTAAGATTTAAAGAAGCAATTATACATTTTTAAGTTAGAAATCAGTGTTTAAGGCCACAGCATTAGTCATAATCTTCAGTTTGAGAACCACGAGGCTAAAATGTTATGACTTTGAATATGAAAGCCTTTCATGGCAGAAAAGCTTACTCCTTATTGCTCAGTATTATTTAAACTCAACGGTATCATTTCTTTAAGAACAATTCCTCTCTCTCTCTGTTGCTTTTCTTGTTTTATGCATTGTTTTTTGTCTTCTCTGTCCACAGTTTGGATCCAGAGCAGAAGGACCAGCTGATCGAAGTCATAGAGAAACTCCTCGCTGACAAAACCACGGTGAGTTTTCACACCACAGATCCAGGGTTTTATCTGTATTTCTTTTGACAAATGCAAATAGAAGTTTGAGGAAGTGCACAACATATCAGTAGCAGCTAACTAGCTAAATGTTTTTGGTTGCAAGGCTCATCATTTGTTTAACCAGTCTCCCTCTGGCAGGCTTTGCATTCACTTTTGCAATTTGATCAAAAATGTAGTCCCTATTTACAGATTTAGTTTAACTGCAAGTAATATAAATATCATTACCGTCATTACAAAACACTCGCTGCTACTGTATATAACTTGTGCAATATTATTATTATTAATAATGTGCTATGATAACGTTACGTATCTGCCACTACGTTTTTTTTGCACTACTAAATACTGGTCATATTTACATTAATGATGTGAGCGTTTCCTGTAGATATTTGGTTGCTCTTTTTAGTGTACAGTTTTACTTTTATACCTCTGGCACAACAATTTCCTTCTGGATGAATAAAGTCTTATCTCATCTTACCTTATCTTAATATAATATTTATTAAACCTCAAATACATTATTTATGTAAAAATGCATTAGCTGTTCTTGTACAACATTTTTGGTAACCGTCCCCCCGTCTCAGCTGGTGGCGGGGAGCGTTGTCATGGCGTTTGAGGAGGTTTGTCCCGAACGCATCGAGCTGATCCACAAGAACTACAGGAAGCTGTGCAACCTGCTGATCGACGTGGAGGAGTGGGGGCAGGTGGTCATCATCAACATGCTGACCCGCTACGCCAGGACCCAGTTCCTCAACCCCAACATGAACGTGAGTTCGAGACACAGAGAGAATCAGTGCAGACCCCAAAGGTGGTCGGTTTATATGTACGATAGGAACTTCAGCGATTTGTACAGTACGTTGTTTTTACTTGTTCTGAGGTGATGGAACTCACGTCAGACTTATTAGCTTGCCACTGAAATGTGAAAATCAGCGACTAAAGCAATTACAATCAATTATTTTCATTCCAGATTTTTACGTCTATTTTCTATTTGATTGGGAAGTACATTTGTTTATAAAATGCAAGAAAATATTTAAATATTTCCAACTTCTTACATTTTTTATGACTAACAATAGAAAACCGTAGACATATTTTATTTATGGTGAAAAAAAATTCCGAAAAAAAGCACATTTTCACATTTATTCAAAAACCAGTACAGTTTTTGATATGTTTGCCTGATAATTGCCCTAAAAGACATGAATATAAAGCACATTTTAAAACAACCTATGCTTACCGACATGCTATACAGGCCATAGTAGGAAGCTAACACATTTGTTACAAAATACAAATAATCATCAATGCTCAAATAACCATGGCATATATATCATGCAAAAACTCAAAGGTAAATTGACTAATTTGCATAGAAACAGGATTATTATTCAACAACAAAGTCACCATTTTTATTTTGTTGGATGGATTATATTCTTACGGTTATGCCATTGTTAATGTTTAAAGGTACAAGCCATCCTATCATTGTTTTCCTTTTGCTGCTTTGCCAACTTTGGGATTTTGAGTTAATTTCTCATCAACTAAGACATGTTTTCATACCACTACAAACATTATTATTTTAGTAATTTCCAATGCATGTGCTGACAAATCTGTAGAACCCATTTTGCACCATATGTCGGTCTAACACGAGGATGTCTAATGATGCTTCACATAAACAGTGTTGCTGCCTTTAAACAAACCCATTCAAAAGCAAACCGCCATCTGGTGTTTGTTTTTTTGAAGCGGCCAATAAGTATTTTCCATGCAACAGAGATTCTGTCTGGGTCTGTTTGTCCCTCAAACACTCGGTTTAATCCCCTCTGTCTCTGCAGGAGTCCTTTCTGGAGGAGGGAAGCGACAAGACCTTCTACGGCTCGGATGAAGACTCGGATGAGGAAGAGGAGGACAAAGACAAGAAGGTGGAGGCTCCCATGGTCAAGAGGAAGCCGTACGTGATGGATCCAGATCACCGGCTGCTGCTGAGAAACACCAAGCCGCTGCTGCAGAGCCGCAACGCAGCCGTAAGGCACTCTGAAACACACACACACACACACACACACACACACACACACACACACACACACACACACACACACACACACACACACACACACACTAACAATAACTCTCCACTTGAGCCAGTTGCCATGGCAGAAATCATAATGGCTTTCTCTCCAACATTTTTGAGTAGTTGAGGTCTTCAGATGCACGACCTTGGTTTGCGCTAACAAGCAGCTGTAGTGCCTTTGAGCAGCTACTCAGATCCGACCTCTCATGGTGGAGCGTGGATAATCTCCCAAAGGAAATGAATAAAGCAATCCACTACATTAGAGCTGCTGTGGTCATCTTGGAAAAGCCTGTTTTGATCAATGTCAGATGTTAGGAGACTCCCCGGTCACACATTATCCTGCCTTTGTTCTGCTGTTTGATTCAAGGCATTTCAAGATTAACCTTGTTCCTCATATTGCATGCTGTTTAGCAGTGAGCTCTGTAATTGAAGAAGAGGCATTTGAAGGTGCTTTAGATAATATTCATTCACTAAAGGATGCTAAACAGTTGTGGAAAAAATATGACATCCCTGATAAAAGGGGTACAAATAATCACGAGAGGGAAAGCGACAACTTTACTCAAGTGCATTTACAAAAATACAACACTTTCAAATAAATATATTGCCTACAAAAGGCTTGTTGAGATTACAAGTCCGTTTTTAAGAGACTTCTCTCTCATGTTAGTGTGACAACAACATACCTCAAACATCACAAAGCTAATTAAACGCAATATAAAGGTGATAGATGGGGGGCGTGTGGCGCAGTGGCTAGAGCCTTGGTGTTGGGATCAGGGGTCACAGGTTCAAACCCCACTCTAGTCAGCATGTCGTTGTGTCCCTGAGACACTTCACCCCAAATTGCTCCGGTGGGGATTGTCCACAGTATTGACTATGTAGGTTGCTTTGGATAAAAGCGTCTAACAAGAGACATGTAATGACATGTAATGACATGACATGACATGACATGACATGTAATGTAATGTAATGATAGATCACATAATAATTAGCATAATGTGCACATGCTTACACACAAAATGGCAAAAAAGAATGCATACAGACAAAAGCAATCGATCTCCG